TAAACATCTCATTCATCTCTCTGTTAATGAATTTATCCCAGATTTGGAATTCTTGTAATCCATTGACTTTTCCTGGCTTATTGGCAACAGTAGAGAGAAGAAACTCTTGGTAAACCTCCATCTCTTGTTATCCTTGAAAGTAATCTGTCCTGAGAAATCAACTGATTATTAATTATATGTAGAGTCACTCATTTTTGTTTTCTAAAAATTGAACACTTTTTTATATTGTTAATTGAAATGGGTATAATGACTGTTTACATTGAATAACTCTTTAGTGGAAGGCCTTAACCTCTTGGCCTCAGTTTCCTCATTTGTAAAATTAAGAGGCTAAGCCAGCAGGACAGGCAGCCTTTAAGATGGCCCTCAATAGTCTTTACCTCTTGGTTTATTCCCTAGTGTAGTCCCTACCCTTTGAGTGTAGGGTTGATACAGTGAATTACTTCTAACAAATAAAATATGGCAGAAGTGATGGGATGTTGTTTCTTACATTAGGTTACAAAAAGACTGGCTTTTATCTTGGCTACTTTCTTGCTCACTTAACTTGTTGGAATCCAGTGGCCATATTACAAATGATCTTTTGGAGAGGTGTACATGGCAAAAAATTGAGGGAGTCCAATAGCCAGTGAGGATTTAAATCTAGCTGGCAACCATATAAGTGAGCTTGGAAGGAGATCCTCCCTCAGTAAGGCCTTCAGATGAGACCATAGCCCTGGTTGATCTTGAGTCAGTCATCCAGCTAATCAACAGTTAGATTCCTGAACCAATGATACTGTGAGATAATAGATGTTTATTGTTTTAGCCACCAGGTTTTGGAAGTAATTTGTTAAGCAGCAATAGATAGAAAATACAGCTTTTGAAGTGGGGTACAGCCATAACAACTATCTAAAATGTAGGAAAGTCTTTGGAGCAAGGGAGTAAATGAAGCTAGAAAACCTTTAAGGATTTTAGAAGACTATTAGTGAAAGCTTAACTTTGAAAATACTTTTCAAACATGACTCAACTACATGTTGCCTATAAGAAATTCATCTCACCTGTAAAGACATACATTGGCTGAAAGTGAAGGGATGGAAAAAGATATTCCATGTAAATGGAAATCAAAAGTAAACACAATAGCTATGCTTATATCAGACAAAACAGACTTCAAGTCAAAAGCTGTAAAAAGAAACAGTGAAGGACATTGTGTAAACAATAGAGAGATCAATTTAGCAAGAGACTATAACAATATAAATATACATGCAGCAAATGCCAGGGTACTCAGGTATATAAAGGAAATATTAGGTCTAAAGGGAGAGATAAGCTTTGATACAATAATACCCGGAGACTTCGATACCACACTCTCAGCATTGGAGAGATTGGTCTAGAAAGAAAATCAACAAAGAAACATTGAATTTAAACTGCACTGTTGACCAAATGGACCTAAAATATATTTGCAGAACATTTTACTCAACATCTGCAGAAAACACATTCTTTTGATTAGAACGCGGAATACATTCCAGGACTGACCATGTGTCAGGACACAAAAAAGTCTCAAAAAGATATTAAAAATTCAAAGCAAGTATTTTACCTGACCACAATGGGATAAAACTAGAAATGAATAACAAGAAGAACATTTGAAGTTACACAAATAGATGGAAATTAAACAATGTTTTCCTGAACAACCAATGGGTGAAGGAAGAAATTAAAAGTAAAAATTCCTTGAAACAAATGAAAATAGAAATGCAACATACTAAAACATGAGACCCAGCAAAAGCAGTATTAAGAGGCAAGCTTATAGAGATAAATGCCTACATCAAAAAACTAGAAAGATTTCAAATAAATAGTTAAATGATGTATCTTAAGGAACTAGAAAAGCAAGAACAAACAAAAGCCAAAATTAGATCTGAGCAAAAATAAATGAGATCGAGACTAAAATAAATACAAAAGATCAACAAAATAAAATATGCTTAAAAGCCTTCAGAGATTTTGACCCTGTGTGTGGGTATATGTGTATGTGTGTGTGTGTGTGAGAGAGAGGGAAACAGGGTCTCACTCAGTCTGTCACCCAGGCTAGAGTGCAGTTGCGATATCATGGTGCATTGCAGCCTCAACCTCCTTGGCTCAAGTGATCCTCCCACTTCAGCCTCCCAATTAGCTGGGACTACAGGTGCATACCATTACACCTAGCTAATTTTTGTGTTTTTGTGTATAGACAAGATTTTGTCATGTTGCCCAGGCTGGTTTCGAACTCCTAAGCTCAAGCAATCCACCTGCCTTGACTTTCCAGAGTGCTGGGATTACAGGCATGAGCCACTGTACCCGGTCAAGTTAGAGCCTTTAAAAAACAAGTAGGTTGTGGTGATTCCTTAAGGATCTAGAAATAGAAATACCATTTGACCCAGCAATCCCATTACTGGGTATATACCCAAAGGATTATAAATTGTTCTATTATAAAGACATGTGCACACATACGTTTATTGTGGCACTGTTCACAATAGCAAAGACTTGGAACCAACCCAAATGCCCATCAATGATAGACTGGACAAAGAAAATGTGGCACATATACACCATGGAATACTATGCAGCCATAAAAAAGAAGGAGTTTATGTACTTTGCAGGAACATGGATGAAACTGGAAATTATCATTCTCAACAAACTGACACAAGAACAGAAAACCAAACACCGCTCTCATAAGTGGGTGTTGAAATAAGAATTCAGGGACACAGGGAGGGGAACATCACACACTAGGGGGTGGAGGACTAGGGGAGGATAGCAAGGGGTGGGGGATTGGGGAGGGATGGCATTAGGAGAAATACCTAATGTAGATGATGGGGCGATGGATGTAGCAAACCACCACCATGGCACATGTATACCTATGTAACAAACCTGCATGATCTGCACATGTAACCTAGAACTTAAAGTATAATAAATAAATTAAAAAAAACCAAGTAGGTTGTAGAAAAGCTCATGACAATTGCTTGAACCTTAAGTAATAAAGACATTTTTCATTTGTTTTTCTTACTAATTGAACATTTATTGAGTACTCGTTATGGGCAGGACACTATAATATGTACCCACCATTTCTGCCCTCAAGTCTAGAAGCCAAAGATGTTCCCCTGTAGCTCAGAAACAAGATGAATAGGGAGGATGTGAGCCCAGTTAGCAGCTTATATGAGTCTCCTTGTTTATTAGTTAATCCTCATTGAAATCTTATTATTGGGGGGAGGAGGGAAGATGGAAGCAAAATACTGTTTTGTTAATTTCCATGCTCTTTGGGGTCTTTATGTTCCTTTTGAAAGGGAGAAAATAAACAGGAGATCCACATTGTTCATAAGAGATATGGATATGGAAAGGAGAAGCATTTTGAGAGAAGCCAAGAGCCATAGGGTGGAGCTTGTGTATACTTGCAACTTCCTAAAAAGAGTCATGTCCCAAAGGCTTCTAACCAAGCATGTTAAGAGGCTGGAAAAATAAAATAGATAAAAAGTCAAGGTCACTTAAAATACATAGAAGTGTCGAGGAGCGGAAATGGTAAAACCAGTTAGAAAGGCTGTATGGCTCAGTAGTTAAGCAGTGGATTCTGGCACCAGACAGATTTGGCTTCTGATTGTAGTACAGGCACTTAGCTGTGTAACCTTGCAGAAGTGATTTCACTTATTGAAGCTTCAGTTCCCCATGTGTAAAACAGAGTGGAATTTCCAGGCAGATCTAGTTCATATGTAACATGCCTTGATAATAACTTCCTCAAAGTATATAAGGCCTCAAATGATCACGGCCCTTTATTTAAAAAAATTCTGTTCTGTGTCCCTCATTCATCAAAGGACTCATTCATTTGTCTATCCATCCATCCATCCAGCCAACCATCCATCTATCCATCCATCCATCCATCCATCCATCCATCCATCCATGCATCATTCATTCATCCATTTAAGAACTGTTTATTGAGCACTTATCATTGCTTGGCATTGCAGACAGAATTGTGATAAGAAGCTATTATCCCTGCACTCTTGTGCCTTACAGACTAGAGGTGAATATAGATTTACATCTAAAATCATTATTATGATATTATTAGTGAAAAAGCACAGAATACCACAGTGAAATATAACTTGGGGGTCATTCTTCTTTTCATTTCTCTATTCGCAAAATTCCGTTTTATCATTCTCTCACTTGTCAGCTCCCATTTACTAGTGACCCACAATAATCCGATCTCTTCCTACACAACCCAACTTCCTACCCAACTTTCACATTTGCTGAAAATGGCTAAGATCAACAACAATCCATTGTCACCTCTCATACTTTCACTCTTCCTATCAAGCTCTCTCTGCAGCATTTCACATTGACAACAAACTATTTCTTGAGACATCTCTTCTACAGGCCTATTGCCTTTCTTATTAATCCCTCTGCTTTTTCTGCTCTTTAAATTTTGGGAGGATCCTTAACATTTAATATTTAAGCCTTTTCTATACAAGCTTTTATTTATGACCTCATCTAGTCCTGCATCATCAACTATCATGTACCTGTTAAAGATTGTGAAATTCATAGATCTGGTTCTAAATTCAGATGGGCATTTAACTCATTTAAAATGAGAATTTAACTTAAATCAAAGCTAAATTTATTATCTCCATAACTTTTTCAGACTCCTTTTGTTTTGATTGAAATTAATAATGGTAACATTCACTCAGTCTCCTTGGATTGAAATTTTGTTCTCCTACTCACAATATTCCTTCTACCAATATTTCTTTCTCTATCCCCTCTGAAAACATTTATTTTCTCTCTAACTTAGGTTGAGTTATTCAACTGAGTAACTAAATGGAATAAAACCATATTCATTTCACTATTAACACTTAATAGGTTGTAATTTATTTCCAAGTCTCTCTCAATGAACTGAAATTAACCTCTTTATTGAGTACTTAGTAACCAGCAGAGAGCTTAGTACATAGCAGGGACTCATTAATGAAGTCTTAAATTTTTTTTTTCATCTCTCTTTTTTTCATACCTAGTCCCACAGATATTTCTTCAATTCTTTAAAGATTCACAACCTTTTTGACTATATCCTTAAAGGCTTGTTTTACCTGTTGGTTCCTTAGGGTGTAAATAAAGGGGTTCAACAAAGGAGCAACTGAAGTAATAAGTAGAGCTACTCCCTTGTTGAATGTGTCCCCTTCTTTTGCAGAGGGATTAATGTACATAAACATGCAGCTTCCATAAGAGAGGGAGATGACAGTCATGTGGGAAGAGCAAGTGGAAAAGGCTTTTGTCCTTTGCTGGGCAGAGGGGAGCTTCAGAATAGTCTTGATAATGAATGTATATGAGAGAATCACTAGCACCAGAGTGACCACCAGGGTCACAGATGCCACAAGAACGACAACCTTCTCTATAAGGCTTGTGTCTGAACATGAGAGTTCCAGAAGAGGCTCATAGTCACAGAAATAATGATTCAGTCTGTTGGATGGACAAAAGTCCTGCTGACTCATCAGGGTGATTGGTGGTATAATAGCCATTAACCCACCCAGCCAAGAGCAGAAAATCAGCTGGGTGCAGACTCTGTTGCTCATGATGGTGGTATAATGCAGAGGTTTGCAGATGGCCACATAGCGGTCATAGGACATGGCAGCCAGAAGGTAAAACTCTGTGGCCCCAAGGAATATGGCAAAAAAATACTGAGTGAAGCAGCCAGCAAAACTGATACTCCTGTTCCCTGTTGTGATGCTAATCAGGACCCTGGGAATGAAGATGTTTGTGAAGGAAATTTCCAAGAAAGAGAAGTTCCAGAGAAAGAAATACATGGGAGTCTGAAGGTGGGAGTCCAGCAAGGTGAGGATGAGGATAGTCAGATTTCCAAAGATGCTGAGTAAATACGCAAGGAAAAGAAAGGTGAAAACTGCCACCTGGAGTTCAGGGACGTCTGTTAGACCCAGAAGGATGAACTCAGTTAATATAGTTTTATTTTTCATTGTTGAAAAAATTTTTAGTCTCAAAGTGAAAAAGAGAGTAGTAATCAAAGGTGAGAAAGGAAGAGGGGCTCTGAAATGAACAGATAAAGTCTGACAAGACCAAAATGAAATGGATGATGTACTTCTCCTCTGATGACATGGTCCAGACCAGCGGCCCATTTGAATGGCGTTGGATCCTTTCCAGTCCCATTCACCCTATGGAGGAAAGTTCTTGTTATTATTTTTCCACATTATACCCTCCCTAGTGCTCACATGAAACAAATGTCTGTCTCACAGATGATGTTTAAAAAGTTGTGAAATAAGTTAATAAAAGAATGCCTCCAGCTGGTACCTCCTTCCAGAATAGTTATGAATTTCTTTCTCCCAGCATTAACTTTATTTCTCATTGACTCCATTCATTGCCATACTTCCTTTGTGTGCCTAACCCTTCTCAGAATTGTTGTTTTTCTTATTCTTCCCTACTTTTTTTAAAAAAAGTATATAAATATAGCAATTTCTCATTTTTCTTCTGGTTCAGCTTCCTTAATTCCCTTGATGCCAAAAAAAGTGCCACTTCTTTCCAGTGGACCCTCCAACTTCTTAGCCTATGTCTGTCTGTTAGATTTAAAGATCTGTGTATTAGCATTATGCTATTTTGTCCTTTGAAACATTCACCATTTCTAGGGGTGAGTAAATATTAGATTAGAATACTTACACAAACACATTTAGAATCTTTAGATCTAGAATTTTGCTTTCCTGTAAGTACAGGGAGATTCTATTACATTCCAATGAAATTTTAGGATCTTAAGAATATTTAAGCAAAAGCTTTTAAACTAGGGATCCAGTAATCCCTAGATTCGATTTACTATGTCTGTGAATCCATTAAATTATGTGTAAAACATTTTGTGTATGTGAGCATATGAATTTTATGGAGAAAGTGTATAAAACTATGATTCAGGATTTTCTGGGAGATTCCATATTTGAGGACTTCATGGGTGTTTCAAGTTTCTACTTATTGTGAGCTCATGCAGTTACAGAGTCACATTACTGGGGAGTGCCCTTATTGATTTATTTAATATTTCTTTGTAGTTATGTTTTATAAATGTTTTTAAGGCAGCAGATTTAAAGCATTTTTGATTAAAATTCATTCTAAATTATATATATTTTAATAAGCACATATATATCTCACTTAAAAGTTTTATAGAGCATTCCTTACTACGTATAGTATATATATATATATATATATTTCTGTTTTTTTTTTTTTTTTTTTTATGCAGGGTCTGACTCTGTCACCCAAGCTGGAGTGCAGTGGCATGATCATGGCTCACTACAGCCTTGACCTCCTGGGCTCAAGCGATACTCCTAACCCAGCCTTCTGAATAGCTGGGACCACAGGCATGCACTACCATGCCCAGTTAATTTTTTTGTAAATTTTCTGTGAAGACAGAGTCTTGCTATGTTGCCCAGGCTGGTCTTGAACTCTTGGGCTCTCCTCTCGTCCTCTCAAAGTCATCCTCTCGCTTTGACCTCTCAAAGTGCTGAGATTACAGATGTGAGCCACTGTACCTGGCCCATGTGATAAAATCTGATATTTTCTATTTAATTTTTTAAAATGCTCATTGCAGCCCACTAACTAAACTGATTTTATAACTTCCTTGTGGGTTGCAGTCAACAGTTGAAATCAGGGATCAAGGTAAGTTACTGTAAATAACTTTGGGAACAAACTTTAAATATACAGATGAGAAAAGAGGGTCCAGGGGAGTTAGCTTGGAGATGGGTTGGTGGTGCTGGGGGTGGTGGCTAGAGATCATTAGCTGCAGATGCCCTTCCTCTCCTGGCTACTAACCTGGAGTCTTCAGGAAGTGGTTGAATATTCACATCTGTATCAGTTTCAGGCTTTACAACTCCAGAGAAGTAAAATCAATGAAGCTACAAATAGGTAACATACTTCCTTACTTGACTATCCAAATGACTTGTGAGATTGTCATCCTAAATATTCTTGGTGGTAAATTAAAATTTTAAGGCAACATAATTACAAAATAGTATGAGATTTATTGCATTTTGTTTTTACCTTTTCTGCCACCAAGTTCTATACTACATTTCATAGAAATACATGAAACTCCAAACTTCTCTTTGTAGGTAAGAAGTAGTCTTCTGCTGCTCCTATTTCTTATCATTTCAGTGGGGATTTGCTGATCTCCAGTGTTCAACTAATTAAACTGGAGCTGAATCAGAGTTTTTGGTGATCCTCTTTTTAAAGCATAGCCAATAACTAGGACATTAAAAGAAGGACTTTGAGGAGCAGAGTAGTCCTGAACTTTTCTGTTGTAGGAGAAATGAACTGATGATCTCAGAAGGCATAATATGCGCTCCCACTCCTACCCCAGATTAAACTTCACCCAGAATGACACAGGTTATATCTGCTCTATTGAGAGCATGCACTGGGGATCAATTGAGTGAAGAAACACAAGTTGCATGGGGGATCCTCACCTGGAACAGGCTAATGAATGTCAAGTTGTGAATAACTTTGGGAACAAACTTTAAATATACAGCTGAGAGAAGAGGGTCCAGGGAGACTATCTTGGAGATTTGTTGTTGTTGGTGGGGGAGGTAGCCAGAGAGCATCAGCTACAGAGAATAAGAGTTTGGAGTCATTATCGTTTTCTTTCACAGGTGGATGGTCATAGCTGGACTTGGCTATGGACAAACAGATTAGGTGGAACCATGTGGAGGCCCTAAAAAACGACACTGTTTTCTTTTTAACTTTTATATTAGGTTTAGGGGCACATGTGCAGGTTTGTTATATAGGTAGACTTGTGTCATGAAGGTTTGGTGTACAGATTATTTCATCACCCAGGTACTAAGCATAGTACCCAATAGTTATTTTTTTCTGATCCTCTTCTTCCTCTTATTCTCTTCCCTCAAACAGGCCCCAGTGTCTGTTGTTCCCCTCTTTGTGTCCATTTGTTCTTGTTTAGCTCCCACTTATAAGTGAGAACATGTGGTATTTGTTTTTCTGTTCCTGCATTAATTTGCTAATTGGCTTCCAGCTCCATTCATATTTCTGCAGAGGACATGATCTTGTTTTTTGAAGGTGTGTGGTATTCCATGATAAATATGTACCATGTTTTCTTTATCCAGTCTACTATTGCTGGACCTTTGGGTTGATTCATGCCTTTGCTATTGTGACTAGTGCTGCAATGAACATAGATATGGTTTTGCTGTGTCTCCACCCAAATCTCATCTTGAATTGTAGCTCCCATAATTCCCTTATGTTGTGGGAGGGAGCCAATGGGATAATTGAATGGGGGAGCAGTTTCCCTCATCATACTGTTCTCATGGTAGTGAATAAGTCTCATAGGATCTGATGGTTTTATAAGGGGAAACTCCTTTTGCTTGACTATCAGTCTCTTCTCCACCATGTGAGATGTGCCTTTTCCCTTCTATCATGATTGTGAAACCTCTTCTGCCACATGGAACTGTGAGTCCATTAAACCTCTTTCTTTTGTAAATTGCCCAGTCTTGAGTATGTTTTTATCAGTAGTGTGAAAAGACTAATACAGTAAATTGGTACCAGGAGTGGGGTGCTGTGAAAAGATACTCAAACATGTGGAAGCAACTTTGAAACTGGGTAACAGGCAGAGGTTAAACAGTTTGGAGGGCTGACCAGACAGGAAAATGTTGGAAAGTTTGGAACTTCCTAGAGACTTATTGAATAACTTTGGCCAAAATGCTGGTAGCAATATGGGGAATAAAGTCCAGGCTGAGGTGATCTCAGATGGAAATGAGGAACTGGAGCAAAGGTGACTCTTGTTATGTTTTAGTAAACAGACTGACAGCATTTTCCCCCTGCCCTAGAGACTTGTGGAACTTTGAACTTGAGATGATTTAGGGTATCTGTCAGAAGAAATTTCTAAGCAGCAAAGCATTCAAGAGGTAACATGGGTGCTGTTAAAGGCATTCAGTTTTTTTTTTTTTTTTTTTTTTTTTGAGACGGAGTTTCGCTCTTGTTACCCAGGCTGGAGTGCAATGGCGCGATCTCGGCTCACCGCAACCTCCGCCTCCTGGGTTCAGGCAATTCTCCTGCCTCAGCCTCCTGAGCAGCTGGGACTACAGGCACGCGCCACCATGCCCAGCTAATTTTTTGTATTTTTAGAAGAGACGGGGTTTCACCATGTTGACCAGGATGGTCTTGATCTCTTGACCTCGTGATCCACCCGCCTCGGCCTCCCAAAGTGCTGGGATTACAGGCTTGAGCCACCGCGCCCGGCCAAGGCATTCAGTTTTATAAGAGAAGTAGAGCATAAAAGTTTGGAAAATTTTCAGCCTGATGATATGACAGAAAAGAAAATCCCATTTTTCTGAGGAGAAATTCAAGCTGGCTGCAGAAATTTGCAGAAGTAACAAGGAGCCAAATGTTCATCCCCAAGACAATGGGGAAAATGTCTCCAGGGCATGTTAGAGGTCTTCACGGTAGCCCCTCTCCTCACAGGCCAGGAGGCCTAGAAGGAAAAAATGGTTTTGTGGGTCAGGACTGGGGTTCCTGTGCTGTGTGCAGTCTAGGTACTTGGTGCCTTGCATCTCAGCTGCTCCAGCCTTGGCTGAAAGGGTGCCAATCTTAAAGCTCATACCATGGCTTCAGAGGATGTAAGACCCAAGCCTTGGCAGCTTCCACTTGATGTTGAGCCTGTGGGAGCACAGAAGTCAAGAATTGGGGTTTGGGAACCTCTACTTAGATTTCAGAGGATATATGGAAATGCTTGGATGCCCAGGCAGAAGTTTGCTGTAGGAGTGGGTACCTCATGGAGAGTCTCTGGTAGGGCAATGTAGAAGGGAAATGTGGGTTGAAGCCCCCAGTCAGAGTCCCTACTGGGGCACTGCCTAGGGGAGCTATGAGAAGAGGGCCACTGTCCTCCAGATCCCAGAATGGTAGATCCACCAACAGCTTGCACTATACACCTGGAAAAGCCACAGACACTCACTGCCAGATCATGAAAGCAGCTGGGAGGGAGGCTGTACCT